AAACATAGAAGTTAAATTGTTTAATAAGTACCTATAGGTTTGATGAAACGAATTATTATAAAACATAACAAGAACAAAACATAAAATAAAATATGCTGGTAGATAATAAATATTCAGAATATTAGTTATAACCCAAAAAATTAAGTATTAAATATTTATTCATTACATTTGTATAAAATGTATACATCAGTAGTCAATAGTCATCATACGTATTTATATATAGCTTTTATTTGTATTAATAAATACAGGCACGTCATGTATTATTCGATTACAATACAATGTGGCGTTAATACATTATTAAGTACTCAACGTTTCATACGTATTTTGGCACATTATATATACAATATGAAGAATGGACATACATATTAAAATTGAAAACATGTCCAAAGTATCATGAAACATCCTATAATTTACAATACATGACTAAATTTTCATTTTAAAACTAATAATTTAAATTTAAAACAATATGCAGTAAGCCTTATCTAAATATTTGTATACATAACTATATGCATATAATATAAGTATATTATTGAAATAAAAATAAATGAATTCGCATAAAAACATATTAAAAAAAACTAAAATACCCGATACACACATTTTTTTAGCAAATATATTATATATATTTATGTTCATGAATAGGTTAAAAAAAATATTTTTGTCCCCAAATGGTTTTTGATTCTTTTTTTCAAGAAACCTGCTCCCCTATATACGTTTAGTTACAAATTTATTTAAGATGGCATTTATTTGAATGGTTTGTTTTACAGTGTTTACAAGTTTAATTCGTTGTTGCATTATTCAAAAAAATATTTTACCCAATATGAATTGGTCAAAGTCAATCAATTGTTTCTGATAATTATATACGAGAAAAAATGATCTTATGATTCACTTAAATAAATCGATCTTAAACAATTGTAGGATAAGGCTCTATCAATTCAATAGTTGATTTTTTTTAATCTTGACAATATAGGTAATAACAATGACACAACATTAATTAAATATGTCGCATTACTTAACACCATTTTTATATACAAATTAAACATAGAATTTGTTCGACCTATCTTTTCTTAACATGTATATTACGACATCACAACAAAATAATGTGTACACGTTTTTGAACTAGACCGGAGATAATCGAAATTAATACCAAAAATATTAACAATGATAGAGTGCCCACCCACATAAATTTAAGTGACTATATATTGTAATATCAATTAAATCAACTAAATTGTCTATAAATACCAACATAACAATCAAAATTATTGTCATAAAATATTACTATTAGCCCCTTATATAGCCTCTTTAGCATAGCGGTAGATTACGGACATTATGCAACCAATTACTGTAAGTATGGGATTTATTATGTGGACCATGATGTGTGATGTATCACGTTACGAAAACTAGTCTGTCCGCTCTATTTAAGCAGCTGTAGGTTACACTATAAAGGGATCGTTTTTATAAACAGGGAAAGTGTTTGAGTTTTCGTATAATACTTTCAAATATAATATTATACACAAAACAATAAACAAATATTATGCGACAGCGTTATAAACGTATAGAAAATTAAATAGGAAATCACTTTCTCCACCCATTATCGATAAAATTAAAAAATATATGTAATTGTGTTTCATATACGTAGAAACAGTACATACAAAATGCAACAGCTATCATTAGGAATACCACATAATATGTTTCATAGTAAGACTATATTATGGTTACATTTTAAGTCTCAACATTATTTTTAAATGATAGTAGTATACAAGTATAAAAAGATAATATTTAAAATAACTTGAAAAAATCCTAAAAATCTATTACCTGTTAAGGTACACGAAATCTTAGTGAAGGGTTCAAGTTAAAATGGTCAATCAGCTTAAATTCTGGAAGTTGGTATCTACATTATAGTACCATACTAATCGAATTAAATTTTTTTACGTTGAGTTAACACAAAACTAGCCATCATTCGTATGTAAACGCACAGTAACGTACTTACTGCTGAAATGTTTAGTAAGTACCTACTATACCTATATACAAGCGGTAAAACGGTACAGAAAATTGTATTTATGATCGAACTTTCAAGGAATTTACGAAAATTATAACTGTAAAAATTAAAAGTTGACTATAATTCAATATTACTTAACTTACTTAGGTTCTATGAGTATTAAATATTATTTAATAATTATTGAAAAACAAATGACAATAAAAGTCATTTTATATTTTAAAAAAAAAAAGGTTAAATTCCTAATTAATTTTATAAGCATTATAATTATTTTACACAAACACAAATAGCCATAGGTACATTAATTTTTAAATGCAATAAGACAAGAAGAAAGTTTTTAAACTTTAAAATCTAACCAGAATTATTTCAGAGAAGATTAATCTTCAAAATTATTAGTTAGGTTGGTTTTTGAACCATTAATGATGATGTACACTATTTGATAGGATATCTGATAATCTTAAATGGAGTAACATAATCGCAAACAGAAATAAGTATTCATAACACATCTAAATATTAAATATAATTTTTATTTGAGTTTAAGTAGGTGACAAAACCATATAACTACAAAAATGTTTTGTATACAAAATCTACATTCTACATTATAATATAAAGACGATTTCGGCATAATCATAGTTATATATTATACAACCTCGAATAAGTTATTATTTGATCTTACATCAGTTACATCTTACACGGCAGTACAAAATTCTTCAAACAGGTAGCATAATATCAGATATAATATATTTTATTATCGGTACCTACATGCTGATCCTGCACGGCGTTGCCTGTGACAAATTAATGTCCGTGGATTTACCCCTTCTTAAACTCCGTAAATGTAAACTACATATATTTTTAACACCCACAGATATTTGTTTTGGCCAAATATAAAATGAAATTCTAAGATTATATCCAATCATAATAACTATTTTATCGTCGATAACCAACAACAATATATAAATAAAAAAATTATGGTTTTTCGACTTTTCGCGAATCAACTGTATTCAACATTTATGTGTTGGAATATAAAAATAAGTAATAAAAAATGGACAATGACATTACAGATATTGGTAAATCTCGAGATGAATCTTATGTCGAAAATTGGTGGAAACTGCACTGGATTCGCATACGGGTCATCTCTTTTATAAATTTGGTTTTAAATAGATTATTTAAATATACTACAACTTATAGTTGACCCTGGGTGTCGTTGCCCGTAACAAATTAAACAATGCCAGTGTATTTAACTAGTCTTAAATTTCGACAAATGTAAACTACACATACTTTTAACACAGTAATTTAAGTTGTTTTAGCCAAATATAAAATACAGATCTAAAATTGATTAATAGCTATTTTATTTTCTATAACAAATAGCAACCCTATAAAACCAAAAAAATATTAGTTTTTCATGAGTCTACAAATTCCTGTGTAAGCCACTCTTTAAAATTCAAGATTTAAAAAATTGGCTCCTATTTGCACATCCTTGATATAGCCTATATAGGATTACCTGAGTACCAAATTTGAGAACCAATAGTGCGATAGATTTGGCTGTGAATTACTTACACATATACAATACACATATTACCTTTTATTAATATAATATATATATATGCATAATATGGGTGAATATACGGTTAATTAATTAATGTTCATAATAAATGGATGATACTGTGAATTTAAAATAGGTATACAATTTCTATACTAGTATATTATCATTATTAGTGTATATAATTTATAATCTTACATGAAGTACATTTAGCATAATCTGAGAACTGGACTGTCAGTCTGTGTGCAACAGTGCAACGTTTATTTTACAATAATATAGTTAATAATGTTAGATAGCTAAAAAACGTACGAGTACAATGTTTACAACATACGAGTTAATAAATAAAAAAAAACCCTTAGAGATGGCTAATTACTAAATTATCATAGTGATTTCGTAAACATTAATACAAATCATGTATATTACATTTTATTATTTAAGTTTTTAAAAAACATTATAGAAAATATAACATAAATTCATAATTTCAGAAAAAGTAAAATTACAATATTGTGTAATAGAATAAAATGTAAAATAAATCAAAATTACCACCACGATATTAATTGTTTGACATTAAAATATTAAGGAACACTGAATTAAAGTTTACCGAAAGAAAATAAAAACCTAAGACCTGAACTATGTATAAGTTATTAGCTTAGAATTTAAAAAAAACAGTTTCTCATTAACGTTTTATTCAAATGGCTTTGCATAAATATTTCAGAGAGAACGACATTCCAAACAACACGTCAACCTTCTTTTTTAATTATACGAAAACATACGCACATATGTATCTATTCTCTAATTTGTATAAAAAAAATACAGTTATATATATATAAACACTAAAACACGTGCATATGCATTAAGATACGATCAAAATTAAAGCTGGCAAAATGTATAGGTATAGATTGTATAGTAAAATGGTTATGGAAGTACGTTTTAAACCGGTATCGAAGGCCACACTTTATGATAAAAAAAATTATGTCATCGCGAAGAGTACCTGCAAATTACTAGACGTATATACTATTTATAGGTATAATATGATAATATAATATAATTATAATAATAAATGAGATAAAAAGATACACCATCACGATCGGAACCATGCAAATGGGTTGTATCCGGTATCTCGGTACTTTTCAATATGTTTTATAATTCCATTAAATAAAAGTATTGGATTCCGTCTTTGAATATATAGGTATATACATTATATACTACGTTTATTTATACTTAAATTTTTTTAAAGCTTTTTAATGTAAAAATACTAAGGTATGTATATTAAAAAAACAATTTAAGTCTAAAAACAATGAAACTTATTATTAATAATAGTGTACTTGTGATTTATGATTATATGGGAGCGCTAATCAGTCAATATTACATAATACTATATATTAAATTTGTATAGTGTCGGTTGGACGTCATACACTGTGCCAGCCCCCCTGGGAGCAAGCACACCTTCCGAAATGTCGAACGTACCTCAGGACCGGCAGTGTCCACTGAAGGTTTCCTGGGCGGTGGTGGACGGTTGTTTTTTTGGACGGCGTTTAGCCAAGCTTTGACTCGCCTGTTATTGCTGGCGTTCCGTTTGTACGTCAACCGGCCACCGTTGGCCACCGGCGGCTCTTGCTGGCCACCACTACCGCCGCGTACAGACGACGGTCGTCCGTCGTCACATAGTATCGTGGACCACGGGGACGGTGGATTGGCGGTTGCCGGTGGCGGCAAGACGTACAACATCATAGCACAACGCACCCGAAATTAACGCTAAGCGCAGTACGACAGCAAACGCGGCTACTCGTAAGTACGATACGTGTATAATATGACAACAATACGCCACACGACCACGAACTCAACACCCGGTCTGAAATCGGCCAGTTACGACGAACACCCGGGACAACGACGACGGATCCATCGCGGCGAACGGATTTATTGCTTTAAGAAATTCGATTAGAAAACGACTACACAAAAGGTTAAATGCGTTTACGGTGAACAATATTCGAAAAACGATCAAATCCGCACACGATCTATCACACACGCGCACGCCGCGATCACACGTGTCAAATCGGTGGGGATCAACGAACGAACGAAGCCAAACACGACGGCGGTCACGCAGACGACTGACTGATGCGTCGACGGCTACACTATGCGGACCCGCGAGTTCAGCTGGACGAGGCCGACGCCGCTTCCACCACCACCAATAATGCTTTGTCGTCAACACAAGGCGCGCGCTACGCGGAAATCGAGACGATGTTTCGATTATTGCTGAGTCCGATAGTGACACCTGAATGATATTTGATGTTTTTCCAGGCGGCCAGGCGAAATTTATCGAGCTTCAAAATTGATCATTTCGAATTGATTATTGTTTTTTGTTGTTGTTTAATTTTGTTGGGAAGCCTATAAGCGTTAACGCGCAGTTTATAATAGTATGATTATGGTGATCTCGTCTCGGGCCTCCACTATCTTTAACGGCCGTCGCGATTATCGCCAAGTGATTATAAATTATAATCCGGAAAATTGCTCATATTGACGCCGGGGGGGGGACAAAGAGCTAACGAATGAATCGATTTTTTTTTAATAAAACAAAGAAAAATAACAATAATAAGGAATAATCTTTATTGTGAGTCAAGTGAAATTGTAAAGTATCAAATTTTTAAAAATATAACACAATGGATAAGCATAAAAAGTATTAATTATAAACTATAGATACTGAATTTTACACGTATTATAAAAATAAGATAATGACCAAGTTTTTGAAAATTAGGTAATAAAAACCATGTTGATTAATCTTAATGTTTATGTATGATAAAATACTACACAATGATTTATAAAATTGTAAGCTGTTAAAAATGGTATAGACATCAAAATGTAAGTTCATACAAAGTAAGACCTAACTAAAGAAATTGCAAAAAAAGTTTTAAAACTTATAGAAGAAATGAAGATGAATAATAATGCTAAATACTAATCACAAATCTTAACTATAGAATACATATATACATGTAATAATAAATATTATGTTTGGAAAAAAATGTTAGTAGAGTAAACTTGATAATAATAATTTTACATCCTTGAGTATCTGAATCTTTATTTTCATAAAGTCTAAAAAAAGTAAAAACAACAAAATTGTTCTTGGTCTTAATATAAAGTTATTGTTATTGTTTTTAAGACTTCTAAATTCTAGACTCTTTTAGTTTAATCCCAAATTACCAAGAGTGTATTAATGTAATGTAATATGCGTATACCTAACAAACTATTTTAGTTTTTTTATTTAACAAAATAATTAATGGTATTTAATTAAGCTGGGTGTGCTTTTAAGAATTGTTCTTTCATAGAACCCACTCATGTGACCATAAGGTTAAGTGTTACAAATTTATCAGTTACTCGGTAGTAAAGTACCTATATTGTGAAAATGTATCAATTTCTTATTATGAGTAAATATACATACATATTTTTTATCTAACAAAATATAATACCCACTGACTTAATTCTTTAACAAAATATTAATACATTATTGTTTTATGAAAGGATATCAATTTACATATCATATAACAAATTCCATTTTTCTAAGGTTTAGATAAAACAAATGAAGGAATAAATGAACATAATACATTGACTTTGCACTTTAATATTCCAAAAATACTAACAAGTGTAATCTTGAATTAGGTACTAAAAGTCAAAATGGTATCATAGTATCAACCTCATAACAGCAACACAATGTCTCTGTAAAAATTTGTTGCAATGGTAGTCAATACAGTAAATCGTATTGCGTCTTGTATTAGAAGACTAGATTACAGGACCTGTCAGAGGGAGGGGTATAGACCTGAGGGTGTCAGATCTAGTATCTACACACCTTTTTACTTTTTTAGTGTATTCTTGCCTTATAGACCATAATACACTATATTAAACAGTATTAAGCTAAATTTAAATTACTTCTGCATTTTCAGGTTATTATTGCTTTAATATAATATACTATGGTAACTATGAGTTATCATCTAGTAAACACAACATAGATAGTAGATATACCAAAGTAAATCATGATACATGACGTTATGTTTTAATAATATAAATAGTTTTCATTTTATACCATATAATATTAAAATCAAAGTTAGTGGTTGAAGAAAAATATTTAAAAAATGTTCAATGAAACAAATTATTATACAATATAATAAATATTCAAAATAAAATATGCTGATAGATATTAAGTATTTGGAACAATATAAGTTATAACAAAAAAAAAAAATATAATATTTATTCATTCCATTTGTATAAAATGCATATTTCAGTAGTCACCATACATATTAATAGTAGGTATAATACCTACCTATTGTTTTATATTTCTTGAATATTTATAACAAAATATTTACTGATAATTAACATATAATTACAACAAAATACACACCAAATCAGTTACACTAGATGAATTCTAGTTGTTTAATTATTCTAGGTCAACTTTGTTTACGTACATACCTGTAACCTGTTACACTATAAATTATAAATTAATTTCTTTTTCATTCAACAACTTGTAATCACTTTAAAATATCCTTATATAATGAACAATATTATGATATTATATGAATCAAAATATAATAATCTATATAATAGGTACCTATATCTATACTTAGTTAAAACCTGCACGTAGTTTTTGTATTGAAGGAAACCCCGTCATTTTTTAAAAATAATTCAATTATTTTATTAAATAAAATTTATTTATTTATTTACAATTTTTCTAAATTACATGGTTATTAGAAATGCACATATGAAGTACATAGACTGACTAAACATAAACCCCTGACTGATTATTTATAAATCCAAATTCTGTTTTTATGTTAATTCTTGATGCTACAAAAAAAGTTAATAACAGATTCTAAAGAACTTTAAAGAAGATTAAAAAACCTAAACAAAGGTAGGTACTTAAGTATAAAAATATAACCAAGTAGAATTAAATTAAAATAAAAACTATATACATATAAATAGTTAATAATATAAAATAATATTTTCTCCCTTCATATATAATTATTAATAAATCACACTAAGTATTAGAGTTGATTACAATACTAAATTATTATAATAGTACTATTTATAATCAATGACATGTCAGCCTAAGGCTTTGTTAATCAGCTAAAAAGACTACATTGTATTTTTTAGAATAAAAAGAAAATTGTGTAAATAATCATATTGTAAATCAAAAAAATTAGATAAACTACAAGATAATAATTTTTAGTAAAATTCTATATCAAATCAATGAATAATTCAAATCTTAGGCAGAAAATAAAAGTCAACTTCGTGAGACAATAAAAATTCATTTTCGTAATTTTTGTTAACCCGTCAACAGACAAAACTATTCATTCGTAGTAGTTTTTTTACGGACAATATCTGTTGGTTGCTTTACTGTATCTATAATATCGTGTTGAACTGTATATTCGTATAATGTAAGGTACTCACCGAATTCTGTTGCAAAGTCCCTATAGTCGGAGACGTCTGTACGGCGGCTAAAGCCATACACGCCCGCTGTGGTCTTTGTTTTGTCCGACAATGGCGAAGATCAACAGACCGTAGACTAATTCTAAATTTTCGATGAAACTCGATGTAGGAGGACAACAAATTTGCCGTTGAAAATACAACACAAAAAACACAGAAGAAAAACTTATGTTAAAAACAAATAAGGTATCAAATATTACCAAACTCCTAATCAGGAAAACATGAGCGAAAAAGTACTGAAAAGATAACAGCCCGTGCTTACTGTGGTTGCGGTATCATCCATATTGTGGTTCAAATGTTACCGACGTAGTTATGGATCGCTTGGTAACGTCTTTTCGACCATACGTCATTAGTCCCCAATCAACTTGTACAGCAAATAATTACTTATTATTATTAGTTACCTAGTATTATTGTTATATTACGATATTATTAAATGTATTATACATTTGTAATACATTTATACATCTGTCATTTACCAATAGTCAATGACTCGCATTTTAAGAACGGACTAGAAGTAGATAATTTGTATGGCTACATTTTGATCAACATAAATAATAATATAAATATCAGATATGTACCTTAAGTATATACAGATTTGAGTAAAATATTTTTTTAAAGTATTTAGATTAAATATCTACTAATGTTTTTGAATACTTATGGAAGTTTTCCAAATATGTACTGGTGGTACTGCATGTATTTAATTTCAAGATTATTAATTAAGTGATTCAAACAATCGAACCTGGCCTAATCATCGATCCTATTATCCTAAATTATCAGAATGGTGATCAAGTGATTCGCAATGGTTTCTATAAGGTGACATAAAATAGATAAATTTTCGTTAAAAATAAAAATGGATACCTATGCTTGCTTTCTTATTATTTTCTTCACAATTATAATCTATTTTTTAGCCTATAAATAGTTTAACACGAGTCAAATATTTTTAAAATTTTATGGTGTATAGAATTTGCTAAAATAAATATTCAGGAGAAATGGCATGTAACTAGGTTAATTTTTTTAAGAGTTACGCCAAAACTCAAAATCGATTTTATCAAAAACCGGTTTCGCGTAAAAATATTCGTTCTTCCTTAAGTTTTTTTCTCATTGCTTTTAAAAACTACTGAAAATTATGACCTCCCGAATACACCATCTAGATTCACTTTTCCACCGGAAAAGATACTGATGTGGAAAATCGAAGCATTATAACGACTACTTATCGTGAACACAGATACAAAAAAAAATGTTAAAAACAAACACACATTGTAAAATCAATACATTCATCGTTCCGCTCAGGATCTAAAATATGCAATGTAGACTTATCGTTTTAAAGGATGTCAACTCACTATTTGTTTTCTTTCTATAACCCACTGCATTATTATAGAAAATTTACGTTTAGCAGAACCAACCCTGTGATATTACTTTTAATATTAGAGTGAATTCGCCTATTATCAAACTTTATGTTGAGAACATTATCTGTGTCCCCAAGTTGGATATTTTATTATATATGTTTTTATGTAAGTTATGAGAGTAATGAGAGCTTATAAATTGTGTAAAAGTTAAAATATCATAAAAAAACCAACATAGAGACGCAGGTAATGTCCTTAACTTAAAGTTTGATACTAAGTGAATTTACTCTAATATTAAAAATAATAACACAGGGTTGGCTCTGCTAAACATAAATTTGCTATGTTGCC